AAATACCCTGTATATAAGTGATTGCAAATGGAATGTGAAAAATGAATAAAATATATTTTAATATGAAGGTTAAATAAAAAGAGCTTTGCGGAAAACACTCTGGCCTCGTCTCCATTCTCACTCTGAACTTAACACTGGCAATGAAGTTAGGATAGGATGGGAACTGAGGCTGAAAAGAAGTGACCACAGACCCACTCAAGAGCTGAGCACTGGAGATGATCTGTTGTTCATTGCAATGCCATTCATCGACCATAGACGCATCAGCCCACATTGCCTGGGCATCACAACGGTCCATTGGAAATGGCTGCAGTAACACTGTTTATTCTATATAACCCAGCCACTGAGACGTGGGACTCATACATTGTTCTCTTCGAATGTGTCCTCGAAAGAAAGTTAATCAGAATCTAGGAAACAGAAAAAGGGCACTGTTCCTAAGCTACTGTGGCCCAGACATCTTCAAGAAGGCCAGAGCATTCCTCGCTCTACAGGCCGTTCAGACAGTACTATGGGACACAGCATGCAGAACAAACTATTGAATCACTATGCGCCAAAACTTTCATTGATTGCTTGCCGACATGCTTTCCATCATAGAAACCAGGCAGAGGGCGACTCCATCAACTCATGCATTGCAGCCCTTCAAAAAGCAGCATTGTATTGCAAGTTCAGAGAATTAGATGATGTTCTTTGGGCAGATTGGTTTGTGGAGTGAGGGACGTTAAGTTACAGTGGCATCTTCTCGCTAAAACAAACCTCACCCTGCAGATGGCGCTTGATGAGGCACAAGCAGCCGAAATGTCAAATCAAACGATGGCTGAAATTCAGAAATCAAACAGCCACCGTCATCGTGCAAAGCAGGATGGTTTGAGTTTCATACAGTTTCTTTGACAGACAATACCCCAATCAAGAAACTGCTAAAGAAGCCAACAGCAAACAGCCCAATCACAGAATCTCTATGACCCCACCCCCGCAACACGGACAGGAAAGCCACTAGAATATACACTGACAGCAAACTGCACTCCTTACTAGCACTGGTGATGTTACCTAGTTTGGGTAATGAAACATCTGCAAGAAAACAAGTAAGTTCAGAGCACACCAAGGACCCTTCACAGTGCTTTGAATGCGGTGGTAAACAAACAAAACAATATTAGTTCATATAAAATTAATTCCAGAGAATATATATATATATTCAATCCAAAAATCCGGAAGGAACAAAAGGAAGACAAAACAGCAGCCAACAGCAGACTAATCATTATGGAAAGGGTTATACTAGAAATATAATAGTTCCCAGGGAGAGAAAAGAACTCGCGTTGCTGGGAAAACCAAAGGAGTTGATAGGATCAAGATTACAAGCATGTCAACTATTCTCTACACATTGTGTCAGGATGTTCAAAATTAATTGCATCAGGTGTGGGTTTCTGTTGGCAATACTGCCAATTCGCTGTAGATCTGTTTCAAAATGAGTTTGGCTTTATATCTTCCAGTAAAGTTATTTAAAGTGATTCCAGTATAGAAAAATTTCAGAAACACAAATCCTTGAATGTATAGAAAATGTGTTCAACTTTGCATAAGTAGTAATTCATTGAAGTTATCAAATAATCATTTTGAACCTCAAAACAATAATTAAATAAAATGCAACATTTTTTGTACGTACGAGATCCTTCTGTTCTAATTTTCTGTGATGGTATACTAGGATCTCCTGTCCCTAAAATATTAGTGGCCATTATACGAAATTCATATTCCATCCATGGAATTAAATCAATAACTTTTGCTGATTCCGCATTTCCATCAACAATGGAAGGATCTAAATACAAACAGAGACAATAATTAAAACAGCACTGCAACAAAAATCATATCATAACCTAATATTTGCTTCATCAAGTGATTTTAATTACTAAATAATCTAGTTTAATTTCTTGAATGAATGCAGAAATATGGATGGGGAAATCTGTTTTTCATTTTGTCCATTTTGAATTATTTTTCTTCATTTATTCAGCAGGTTGCAATTTTTTAAAACAAAATATCTATGAAACGCATTTATTTGAAAAAAAAACTTTCCTTTTTCTTAATAGCCACATTATTTAAAAGCTTCATTCCATATATGTGTTTATACATTTTTCATTAATGTAGGTATTATTTTTGTACATTTCTATGCACTTTTTGGAAAGAAGTGCAAAATTCTGAACAGTGTGAATATGAAGAGATATTTGAATTCACAGTTGCACATCCTTTAGGAAATATTTCATGATATAATAATGGACTGAATAAAAAAAATCTAGTATAAAATAAGTAAAACAATTACTTGAAATATGAGTCAAATGCTTTGGCAATCAGTGTGATTGGTGTAATGAATATTACACCAGAACCATTGCGCAAAGTATAACCAGTACTAAGATAATATTTTGGCACACACTTCACACACAAACAACCCAAAAGCTACACAACTGACTCACACACAATGTAAAAGCACACAAAACGGCCCCTGCAACAACAAGCAGAAACCTCACTGAGCCACAAAGAGCTCAAAAACCAACCGTCACACATCACACTTTACACAAAAATAACACAAAAACCACATAAATGACTCACACATAATGCAAAAGCAGCTGGACTTCACACAAAATGGCCCTTGTAACAAGCAGAAACCCCACAGAGTCACGGTAGGACTAATAGGTAGTAAAAATGCTTTAAAAAAAGTAAAAGAAAAAAAGAAAAAGGTTCCGACATCCCCCCAGCACAGCTGATTGTCAAACAGCTGATAGTCAGGACTTTTTTTTTACTTTTTAAAGCATTGTTTTACTACCAGTTGGGTGAATGGGTAGTAAAAAATGCTTTTATAAAAGTAAAAAAAGGGTCATCAGCTGTGAAAATCAGCTGTGCTGCGTGATCATGAGAACTGGTTTTTTTTACTTTTTAAAGGCATTTTTTACTACCGGTTTGGGGAACCAGAACCATTTATTACTACCAGTTCCAGGAACCAGGCAGAACTAGTAGCATTTCACTCCTGGGTGAAACCGGTGCTATTATGTATGGAATTATTATAAGTGACCTCTGCAAATGGTAGTAAGTCGGCCCAGTTAGCTTGCTGATAAATTATGTAACATCTGAGGTATTATTCTGGAACTGAGTTAGCTGATTCACAAGCCCTGTTAGTCTGAGGGTGATGGGAGGAGCTTAGGCCTTGGGTGGAACCTAACAACCTCAGAAACTCCCTCCAGAAGTGGGAGGTGAACTGTACTCCCTTGTGTGAAATTATGCATTTGGGCACACTGTGTAGCCTGTACACATGTTGAATGAACAGTTTAGCTAAGATTTTTGCTGAAAGGAATCTAGGAGTAGGGTACAAAATGCACCTGCTTGGAAAATAAGTTTGTGACCAGCCAAATGATGACTGTATTTCCCCCACTCTCGGATAGTTCAACGATGAAGTCCATGGATATTTCCTTCCAAGGAGCACCAGGTCTAGCAATGTTCTGGAGTAATCCAGGTGGTTTTCCAGGTGGTCTCTTTGCAGAAGCCCATACAGGACAACTAGTGATATAGGCTTCTAAGTCCTTTTTCAAAGAGGGCCACCAGAACTGCCATTTAACTAGGTGTAATGTTTTCACAAACCCAAAGTATCCAGGAGATTTCGAATCAGAGGCCTGTTGTAATAGGCCTTAAGACTAGCAGGGACATACAACTTAGCACCCACCCAAGTGAGGCCATCACAAATAGTGCATTCATTTGAGTGGGACTTCAACCAGTCATCAGTTTTTAGCATTTTTTTTAGCTGTTTGCTTAAATCAGTAGGTAGATCCAGGCCCACCTTCCACTGGGCTCTGGTGACAATTGCTTGGAGGGGATAACCAGGCAGATTACTTCTGGCCATATTGGGGCAATCTAGAAAGAGCATCTACCATAAAGTTCTTTCCCCCAGGAAGATAGCATAGAGAGAAATTAAACCAATTAAAGTATTTCACCCAATGGACTTGCTTGGGCGACAATTTCCAGGGTGTTTTTAAGGCCCTTTAAGTTCTTATGGTCTGTCCACACCTCAAAAGAGTGTTTCGCCCCTTCGAGGAAATGCCTCCAGGTTAACAGGGCCCATCGGACAGCAAATGCTTCCTTCTCCCATATTGCCCATCTTCTTTCGGTTCCCGTTTGTCTTTAGGAGATTTGTAATGGGCAATGCAATTTTAGCAAAAGCAGGGATGAATTGTTGATAAAAGTTAGCAAAACCTTGGAAGCTTTGCAGCTGCTTCCGGGTGCATCGGTGTGCCCACTCCATGACTGCCCGGACTTTCTCTGGGTCCATTTCAATCCCCTCATGCACTATGCGGTAGCTGAAATAGTCAATTTTAGTCTGGAGAAATTCACACTTTGACAATTTGGCATACAGTTCAGCAGCCCTGAGTTTTTTCAGGACTGAATGCAATAATTTTACATGTTCCTCCAGGGTTTCACTGTGAATGAGAATGTCATCTATGTAAACCAGAACCCCCTTGTAAAGAAGCTCATGCAGCACCTCATTAATCAATTGCATGAGCACAGCTACTGCTCCCTATAATCCAAACAGCAGCACTCTAAACTGGAAACAACCCAAAGGGCAATTGAAGGCAGTTTTCCATTCATCTTCTTCCTTAATTTGAACCCTGTAGTAAGCTTCTCTCAAGTCCAGCTTAGTGAAAATCTTCCCTTTAGCCAGATGAGCTAACATGTCCTTCAAAAGGTAAACATTTTCTATGCAAATGGCATTCAGATTTTTGTAATCCACGCACAGACAAAGGGACCCATCTTTTTTTTCCACGGAAGAACACTGGAGCAGCCACTCATGGCCTAGCTGATTAGATGAGGCCCCGTTTTAAGTTTTTAACAATAAAGGTTCACAGTTCCTCCAGTTCAGGCAAGGTAATCAAGTAGATCATTGGCTTAGGGACTTTCACCCCTGGGAGGATTTCTATACTGCAGTCAGTGGGGTAATGGGGTGGGAACCCTCTTGCTGAATGCCTCCTGAGGTCCCAATATTCCTTGGGGATTTTCTCCTCCTCAACAATGTGTTTACTCACTGGCATTGCCAGGTCCTTCACAACTTTGGCTATGCAGGGGGATTTTTCTTCCCCCCATTCCCCGGCTGGGTGGAATGGATGCACAACAAGCTCTTCCTCCAGTTCACACGAGGGTTCCATTTCCAGAGCCAGGGTAATCCGAGCAATAGGGACTGTTCCATTCTGGGGGCTATGATAAAACTCAAAGTTTCTCAGTGATTCGCCATCCACCTCTCAACTGGTTCTGTCATAAAGTGGGCTTTCCCTCCAGCTACTGACCCATCCAACTGCCAAAATGCTATGGGCACTTTCATTGTCTTCAGTCTCAGTCCCATTTTTTCCACCACCTGTGGGATAATTATGTACCTGGTACACCCAAAGTCCAAAAGGGCTAGCATCTTCCCTTGGGTGCCAGATAAGGCACCTTAACTCCACTGGAATGTTCATGGGGCCCATGTGCTGACTTACCGGGGGGGTGTCATTGTCGGAGTCAGTTTCACTTTCCCCTGGGGTGGTTGGACCCAACTCCTCCAGGCCCAGGGGAGCAAACTCAACAACTTCCATACCTTTCAGAGCCATTCCGTGGTTCTTTGTTCACGGCTTCTGGGTTTGCTTTCTTCCAGTTGAGGTCGGTTTGGAATCAGGTTTGGTGAAGCAATCAGCAGCTTGATGTCCCTCCCTTCCACAGCTGACGCATGCTGTGGACCTGGCCTTGGCTGCTGGCCTCCCTTTGGCAGCTCTAGGGGCCTCTTTTGGGGCAGAGGGGGAAGGCTTGTTGCAGCTGTGGCATCATGGTGCCAGTCCCTGGCCAGGTCAATTTCCATATCGGCTGCCTCTGTATTTTACTCCTAGCTGAGGAACCTTTGGAATTCAATGCCTCCAGGAAACTTCTCCCCCACTGGGGAAGTTCTGCTGCCTGTGCTTGCCTTGGCTGAGCACTAGGAATCACTTTGGGGTTTACAGGGGCTTCTGCTCTCCCCACTGTTTGCTCAGCTTCCTCACGCCCAGGTAAGACATACCTTTCATGTGCTCTCCGACTTTCAAGAGCTTTGTGTAGGAGATGCAGGGCCTGAGTCAGCAGGAGGTCTTCTTTGTCAGCTCCTGCCAGGCAGCCTCTCCACACCGGTTTCTGGTACCTGTTATTCCAGGGGGAATCTCCTCCAGAACTGCCATCTATCCTATACCCGTTTGGCTCAGGCTGGCTTCTCCTCAATTTGCAGCTCAGACATCCACTCAGTCTCCTCCCAGCCACAGCGGAACGGGGGGGAAAGTGGATCCAATCCTTATGATGTCTTGTGGGGCACATCTTCAGATGTTTTCACCCATCTAGTATGCTGGGACAGTTGACCTTAAACAAGTCCATTCAGCTGTGCAATAGATGATGAGAGCAAACCTCCCTTTTCGTTCACATCTCCTCCTCCAGCTCACTTCCCCACTCAAATGCCAATGCTCCTCCTTCCCGTTACTATGGCAGCTGATAGCAAGCAAGCATCATAGAGGCTGACAGCAACTCCCCCCCCCCGGCATTTAAATGTGGCCATTACCAAGAGCCAGGTTTGCCTGCTCAGATACCCGCTGCTTGTTTTTTCCCAAAGGAAAAAGAGAAATTGCTGGCCCAGGGTTGGCTTCATAACTTTTTACGGATTTCAAAAGCCGTTCTTTTAATTTTGGAACAACAACACCCCTCCTCTGTGCACCTCCTTTGTTTAAAAAATCAGAGGAAGGGAGAAGAAGAGGGGGATAAAAAAGCCACACAAACACACAGACAAGATGAATCCAAAGTTGGAGAAGGGACCCTTACAGGTCTCCTCTACTCCCACTGCCTTTTCTTCTGAAGGAAAAAGCCTCCAGCCCATAAATGATGCTCCCAAAGCTGGAGAGCCATGCTGCAAGGCAAGGAAAAAGAGGAAGAAAAACCTCGTGACTAAAAAAACCCAAGTAGAAACCCACCCACCCCAGCCTCTTCCTCCTCCCCCATGTGGCTGCCTCTGAACTAAAGGAAGCAAAGTTTGGAACTAAAGGAGGTGAGCAATCGAGGAGGGAAGCCAGAGTGAGAGAGATCAACTGCCAGCCTCAGGGATTTAGCTTTTGACTCCCTTTTTTCTTCCTTTTTTTCCCACAAGCGGCAGGTTTGCACACAAGCCACTTAGTTTGCAAAGTCTGAGGTTTACTTTCCCTTTCTGCTTTTGCCTGCTTCCCAGTCAAGGAATGCTGCTTCTTTTACTGACTCACCACAAAAAAACTTGCTTTCTTTCTCCCTCCCCACTTCCTTCCCTCCCTCCCCTCTTCTCATTCCCATCTCATTCCTTCCTTTGCGCTTAGGAAAGGATGAGAGAGGGGGCGACACTGGCAGCTCTGCTGGTGGCTGTGCTTACCACAGGTGTGGATTTCCCAAGTGGGTTGGGGTGGGGACAGTCCCAGTGAAAGGGACTGGTTTTGCGCTGCAAAACCAGGCCAGCGAGCAGGCCACTGGTGGTGGGTGCAGCATAACTGGATGGCAGCCATCTCATCTGGAGTACTGTGAGGATTAGATCTTCAGGACAGCCCTGCAGCCAGCTAGGGGCCAACCCTGAAGTCTCAGCCTTGCCCCATGGGTGTATGCAAAGAAGGAGGTGAGCACCAAGGGGGCAGGGCTGAGGCAGTGGGGTGCTACCTCGCTGGCTCCAGGGCAGCCCAAGGATTTAAGGCTGATTGCGTTCTGGCCCTGATGGCTGCCATCAAATTATAGATTAATGCCTGGCCAGCCTAGGCCAGGACTAAGGGGCCGGGGGCCAATCCTTTGCTGTCTCAAGAGTTAGCCCTGCGAGCCTTGAGTTTGACACCCTTGGTCTAGTAGGATCTTTAGCTATTTCATCCTTCTGAGAAAATTTTCACACTGCCTAAATCAGTGTTTCTCAATCTTGGCAACTTTAAATTGTGTCAATTTGAACTCCCAGCATGTTGGCTGGAGAAACATTGGCTTAGATGTTCTCTGTCATCCGTACAAAACTGACTCCCCCCCCCCCAAAAAAAAAAATGATGTGTGTGATTTACACAGGTTTAGTTTAATGATAATGATAATTTTCATGTTGATAATCCTGGAAGTTATACTCCTCCAATGATAATTCCAAAACTAAGTGGTTTCTAAAACTTATATAAATAGATAGCTGGATGTCATAGCGAGATCAGACACAGAGAATGGGTCTCAGTGCTCCTGTGCTGTGTTCTCCCCATTGGTGGGCTCTGAAAGGAGTCAAAGCCACCTTGGAGGGGTGGTGAAGCAAAGAGGGATGCCCTGTGAGGTCTCGCAGAGTCGCAGCTCTCCTGCTTGACCCAGGGCTTACTTTCCCTCTCAGCCACAACAAGGAGAAGAGACAGTCTAAGATGGCTGCCATGAAGCTGGGACAGCCAATGACCGAGCTGGAGTGGAAATTCTTTTTTACCGAAAAGTTAAGGCAAAAGAGAAATCTAGGATTTACTCAGAACTATTGAAAGCAGCAATCAGACACTTTGAGAAAATTACCAGACCGGAAGGAAAGGATTAAAGAGAGGGAAGGAAACGAGGACTTTTTTTCCTTTAAAAACGCAGGAAATTGGACTTTCAAATTGGGAAGATGTGACATTAGGAAGACAATTTAAAATATTGGAATTATGAATTTAAAAGTTAACACTGGTTCTATAATTGAATTACAATTTAAAATAATTAAAATCAGATTTTTAGTAATAGTGAAAATTAACCTAAGAGTGCCACCTGCTGATGAAAGAAAATATACAAGCCTGGGAATACCCATCTAAAGGACTGTGAAATATTTACTGGACTATATACATCTACCCTATGACCACTGGAGATTTAAATATCAGAACAAGGAAGACATTTAATTAAAGTTACCCCTGAATGTTAAGCTACTTGACTGAATCTAGAAAGGTAACTCAAGAAGATTTGGATAACTCCCTGGGTTATATAAATGGACCTGACTGACTATTTATGGAACATAAAGAACTGTGATCAGTGGATACTTTGAAGAGCAACCTCAGATTGGAATACATGGTATTTGAGCTAGTGACTAAAAGTGAATAATTTATTAAAACAGGATAAGATGCAATGAGGAGAACTTTGATCGAGATGGATTTGATGTTTCAAAACATAAAGGACATTATACAGAAAGAATATAAGGTGATGGAATTAATGGATGGCATAGATTAAAAATTGGAAAACATAATACAAAGGACAATGAGTAACAAACAAGATGCCCAAGAAAGGAAGGAGCTAGTAGAAGGAATAGAGGGAAAAACAGAATTGAGGAATCAACAGAAAAAAAATAATGAGGAGTCATTAATAAAATTAATAATGTTTGATGAATCAAACCAGGGGGGAAATATTTTAAGAGATCTGAAAAGAGAACGGGAGGAGCAGGAAGATACTTTGGGAAGGGAGACAGGGGTTAAGGCTGATAACTTCAAAGCTAGCCAGTGGAAAAGGGTAGGGATGGGAGAAACAGATTGACAGAGATAAAGATTTAAGAGAAGAATATGGGAGGAAGTAAAAAAGAAGAATTAAAAGTATTGTTGCTGGATGAATGTGATAACTATGTTTAATAACATTATTTTATTTGTACTGAAATGTATGGAATCCAGGTGTCACACTGTTCACGCATTGATATGTATATGTGTATGTGGCCCAACAGCGGCCGGCTGAGCTGTTGCTGGAATCTGACAGTGATGAACACTATGGGACTGCCCTGGAGGCTGAGGAAGACTCTGGGGGGGGTTTGGAGTCAGAGCAGGGACTAGAGAGGCCTGTTGGCCACCAGATGGCATCTGAGTCAGGGTGCAGTGAGGAAGAACAGAAAGAGCTGTCCCTGACGTATGTATGCATAGGGCAGAGAGGAGGAGGGAGCAGCTTTGGAAAAAGACTCACAGAAGGAAATAGGAACAGGTGGCTACTGATTGGCCCTTCCCAGAGAGTTTATAGGTGTGGTGACGGGAGGGGAATTTTGCAGGAAACAACAGTTTACTAATCCAGACGTAGTGAAAGAATTTTGTGAGTTCAAGCCTTGTTTTCATAGAGATAATTTTCTGGGTTCCTAGCCAAGGGGTTGCTTATCTCCTTCCTTAGTTGTGGCAGACAGCCAAGTCTGCGTCAGTATATATTAGAGGCTTGGGACAGAACAATATGTAATATAAAATAAAAAACTTGATACATATAAATAGATAACTGAGAAGGATACCATTGTGGTTAACACTGTTTCATAAGAGAGATGGCATCTGTAGAATATCCAAATCCACACAAATCCAAATCGTGCATTCATATTAAACAACAACAAATAAGTAGTAAGTAATTCTGTATGACATGGGTGTCAAACCCACGGTGTTAAGTTGTTGTCATATGACATTTCATGATATTTTCCCATTTGTGGAGCTGGGGTGGGCGTGGCTTATGCATAATGCATCCAGCCCATGGGCTGCCAGTTTGACACCCCTGCTGTATGAGATATGACATACCCATGCTACATACAGTATAAAATATAGAGTTGTACTCTGTTGGTTACCTTAGATACTTACAGTCTTGCCAGTAACAGGAATAGGCATTAAAGAACACATAGGGCATATGCAAATACATTGCATTACACTTTACTTTAAAATCTGTATATCAAGAATGATATTTTATTATTAGGCTCCAAACTAATATTTTTATAAGATTCTTACCTGTTTTCATGTCTTTCCAATACTCAGACAGAAAGGTCCTTGACTGAATAGTATAATTTGATATAGGACTATGATTTTCTATCCCACGATTCCATGTCAGAATTACAGATGTATTTTTAATGTCTTCTACTTTAAGTCCACCAGGGGGTCCTGGGGGACCTGAAAAATAATTCAATGAAAAATTATGACATAATCTTGTCAAAAAGTGAACCAATGTTTTAAATTGTATCATCATATTTAACAGAGTTAAATTATTTCATTACAACTTTCTGTAATTTACTATTCTCGCATATTAAAATTTATCTGCAAAATCTTAGGTAGCATGGCCAAATGAAATGTTGGCAATTGAAAAATACTAGGAAATATTAGATTGGAAAGGGTATTTTATAAAGTAACATCATACTTTTGGTCAAATCTCATACACTTTTGCGAGCAGACAGAGAGAGTGATATGTGAATGGCAGGCATGCGTATGTAAAGTTCCATTGGTGTGAATGGCACATGTGTGCACCCTCTACTCACGCATTGAGCACGCTCATGGAGCTTTGCACACAAGCAGAGGGGGCTTGGACTCGTGCACAAAGTTCTACAGCATGAATGGTGGGCATGAGTGGTGGGCATTTTATTTGCCTCACAAGAGCAGAGGGAACTTGAGCTGAGGGCGCTTGTAGTGAAGCTTCATTCATGGGAATGAAGCATTACACGTGAGCACTCTATGCTTGCGTGAGGGGAGCTTCATGCACAAGTACCTTCCACTCGCCTGAACTGAGCTTCAGCACGAGCTCAAGCACCCTCTTCTCAAGCACTGAGTGGAGACTTCATGCATGAGTGCATTTACACAAGTGGAGTGCATACCCACCGCTCATACCAATGGAGCTGTGCATGCACATGTGCATGTGCCTGCCACTCCCATGTTGGGTCAGGTTGGGACCACTGTCTTAAAATACAGAATACAATATCTTTTTCTTGAATCCCATCTCTTACCTATAAACAAATCCTTACTGCCTCAGTGTTTCAGTCCTGATCAGGAAAAATCCATTAAGGGTTACCAGAGATACCAACATATCTATTTTAACCTTGATCAGGTATGTCAATTTTATATTCCTTCCTATATTTTCTTGTAATGATCTTCAACTTTAGTCCACTCAAGGCATACTCAGGCATTGGGACAAAGTCCATGCTGCTCACTACTTTGAATGGTGTTAGTCCTGTGCTGCTGTGAACAGCATTATTGTACGCAACCTCAGCAAAGGTCAGACGGTCTGCCAAATTGGACTACAGATAGTTCACTTAGCACCTCAGGTACTGCTCTACCATGGCATTCAGTCTCTCTGTTGCCCCATTGGTGCTCAGATGAAAGGCTGAACTAAGATCCCGAGATGGCCCAATGGACCACAGGAACTCCCCCCAGAACTTAGCTGTGAACTGGACCCCTCTGTCTGAGATAATTCTCCGAGGTACTCCATGCAGGTGGTAGATGTGCTTCAGGAACAGTTTGGCCAGCTTGTGAGCTGAGAGTAGTCCACTGCAGGGTATGAAGTGTCCCTGTTTGGAGAACAGGTCTATTACAGTCCAAATCACCGTGTTTCCCCCACTTTTTGGCAACTCTACTGTAAAGTCCATTGCAATCTCCTCCCACAGCCTCGTTGGCTCTGCTACTGGCTGCAGCAATCCGGGGGGGGGGGTGTTAGTTCCTGGTCGCCTCTTCATTATGGCACAGATGGTGCCACGTAACTGTCCACATCTTTCTTTATTTTGGGCCACCAGAACTGCCTCCGGGCTAAGTGTAATGTCTTTAGGAAACCA